CTTCTAGTATGAAAAATATATATGGAATTATGGCTATGTCCATCCCTTAAATTTTTCCTTTGAGATACCCCTTGTAGAGGCAAAAGTACTATTGTGCCCATATGTGCAATTTTCGCCCAACTGCATTCAGTATTATGGCCAACTACATTTAGCATTGTTGGATCTGCATTTATCATTTTTATAGATTTTTTAATAAAAAATATAAATGTTTATTTTATTATTATTTTTTATATACACCTTATTTTTTTAATTTTTAATTTTTTAATTTTTTTAACTTTTTTTTTTTTAATTTTAAGTTATTATTTTTTTAGTTTTTTTTTTTAAATTTACTGTACTGAAATTGTTTACACATGACTATAATATACTACACATAACTATAGTGTACCACAATCATGTATAGTTATATGTAATCATCTACTGTCTTTTTACCCGCAAAATTAATCTACACCAAGAACAAAATTCGCAATTTTAATCTTGATATTATAAATCAACTAACCCAAAAAAAAAATGAAAAAACACAAACACGTGCATATAATCTTCAAAACATGAACACGCATTACTATACATTAAAAAACACATAGCATACATATAACTATATGTTACTAAGTGACTATAGTTATCTACAATTCTCTATAGTTATACATAGTGGCATAAGTCTGGAGTATTGTAGCATGAATGCAACTTCACATGACAATTCTCTGCATGACTGCATCTTATTATTTGTATCTCATAATATTATATAGATCAAAACCCGTGAAAATCCGTATGAATATTTTACAATTCTCTGGATGAGATTTCAAAATTTAATTATTTTTTATATATAAAATTAAATATTTTACAATTCGAGAAATACAACCATGCATCATTCAAGCTAAAAGCATAAATCCGTATGAATACTCCTCTGGATAAATAAAATCAATTAAAATATATAAATAAAAAAAATAAAAAAATTATAATATCAAATTATTGATTTTCCCTTTGCAGAATAACAAGCGAGGAAGGAACCTTTAGCGGGATCCACTGAGTAGCACCAAGCACTTTCTTAGTCAAGGTATCTCTTCGTTGTCCGGTTTGCATGGATTTCAGATTTCTTAATACTTTAGATATTCATTATACAATATAATAATTATTTGTCAATATGATAAAGTTGCTATACGAGTAACTTTGGTTGTGTAGAGTGTATCCTTATTACTGCAGCTTGATTCCTATTAAGTTCATATTGCTTGTGAAGAAAAGTTTTTGTGCACCTTTGTCTTCAGGTATTATTACTGCAGCTTGATTGATTAAGTTCATGTTATCCCCCCAGTAATTTCCATGGTAAATATTTAGAATTCATTAAATTTCAGGTTTTATTTTAAATAATTTCGGAAGTTAGACAATTTTTCGAGAACTCCCGTTTCATTGTTTGAAGCAACGGTTGGAATTTGGAATTTGGAAATAGAATTGCAACATTATATTTAGCCATTTAATCATCTTTTTTTGGGGGTTGCCTGGATTAAGTGATTGCTGTTGCGCGAGCCTAGGTGATTTTTTAAATGAATTCACGAATCAAACGCAGAAATTCGTTCGTGATTTTTTTTTTCTTCAGCTCAGGTGAGTATTACGCCCTCGCATTTTTTTTTTGTGTACTGAAAGTGGTAGAATTTGAATTTCTTGTATGAAGGTGTGCGCAAAATCAAACTCATCAATTTTTATTTATTAATTTCTTTTTTCAGATTTTAGATTACGTTTGTCGGATTTTGTAGACGATGTGATGTATTTTATATGCTCTGGAAATTGGTAGTTTCCAATTTTTCATGTTTTGCAGTCTTCAATTTTGACCCGATGAGTTTCATGCGTGGGTCGTCTAATTTAGGTTGCGACTTTTATTCTCTCCAATTGAGAATTATCATTCTGTTTTGATGCTAGAAGATTCATGTTTCGATGCTAGAAGATTCAGCTTTGATTATGGAATGGTTGTTGAATAAAAAAATGGGATTTAATTTATTATTATT